GCCAAAACGTGGGAGTGGGGAGTAACCCAAACCGATACCAACAAATGCTGCTCAACAGCACTTGAATCAGTTCATTGCTGCAAACAGCAGATGAAAACTATTACAATCTAAATTTTACTTGTTAAGTCTCTAGGATAGGGCCAGCTGCTGGGCTTGCTGGAGTGATTTTCTTAAAATGTCTACTGGGTGGGCCCCTCTTTTTCCTGAAGAATCAGCACACTGCAGAGTGAGCCACTGTCCTCCTGGAGAGTGTGGGCCCCAGGTTATGAAGAGAGACACTCCTTTCCTCAGCCTCTGAGGCCAGGTGCAGGAACAGGGAGGACAAGTACAAGGATTTCAGGCAGCCTCATTAACGATCACCACTGCACTGCCAGAGCCAGGTGTCAATCTACTTTGTCTGGTTGGAATTCAACATACGGGTCCGCAACATTTTCATAGCCCTTAGCTCATTGAAGCACATGGCCTTTCCTAACACTGTTACTATCATCATTTATAGAGTCTCTGGTTAAGCAGCTTGTTCAGGATTATGCTGACAGGCAGTAATTCCACCACCTGTTAGTTGTGTGACCTTGGGCAGTCCACTCAACCTCTCTGAGAATCTGTAAAGTGAGGCTGTGTTGTAGAAACACCTACCTCAGAGGGCTTTTGCAAAGATTAAATTTAAAAAATGCATTGATTTTCCTTAACTGGTTTCCTTAGCTATTGCCTAAAACAAAACCAAAACAAATAGAACAAACAAATCTCCAAAATCTTGACTCACAATATTTGGTACATACAAATTCAATGAAGAAAAATGAGAAAAAAAAAGAAGTTACGTATAATTCCACCATCCAAAGATAGCCAGTGGTAGGTAACATGCAGACCTACAACTTTCCAATTATTTTTTTGTTTGCACACAGACACACATATATTCACAAAATTGGCTCATACATACTATTTTGTAACCTGCTTTTGTTGCTTAACCAATTATCATAAACATATTTCTTGCCAATAAATATGTCTATTAATACGTTTATTAACTGGCTGCACAAAATTTCATTGTACAAATGTAGTATATTTTTACATCCTCTATTTTTTGATTTTTAGTTTCTTTCCTCAGTTTTGCTCTTATAAATAAATACTTCTGTGATGAATATTCCTGTACATATATTCTTGAGCAGATAATTGATCATTTTAAAAGTAAATTTGCAGATGTGAAATTACAGATGTGAAATTTGCAGATGTGAAATTTTTAGTTAAAAATCGCAAATATTTTAATGTTGCCTTATACATGTTGCCAAATTGCCTTTCAGAGAAGTTCTAGTAACTTCATCTCTTTTTGGTGAATTAACATGCCCGTTTCACCATATTTTTGCTAAAACTGGGTCTTTATCACTTTTACCTTTGTTTGACAATGATAAATGAATTGCATTGTTATCTTAATTTATGTTTCTTACTGCTTAAAATGAAACTTTTATATTTACTGGTTATGTTCTTGATCATTAAAAATTAGATTTTTTTCTTATTGCTATGTAGAAACTCTGTTAGAGGATTTAAATCTTGCCTTATATTTCGTAAGTATTCTATCTTTACATTTGTCTTTTAATTTTGTGAATCTTTTTGACTTTGTACACATTTGAAAATTGTATGTAATTATATCTAGTTTTTTTGTGTGCTTCCTTTTGCAATATCATGCTTAGAGAGACTGGAGTATTTCTTAAAATATTTTTTTTCCGGGAAGGCATATGTCTTGTATGTTTTCTAAGTCTTTGAATGACTGAGAATAAGCTTCTGTAGTCCTCATGTGAGAACAATAGCTTGGTATAGAGCACTTTCGATACAATTTTTCCTTCTTAAAATTCTGTAGAGAGGCTGTTCCGCTGTTTCCTGAAATTTAGTGTTGAGGGATAAGTCTGGTGCCAGATGGGTTTTCCCTCCTAGTATGCTCCCCGGTTGTTGGTTTGTTGGGCAGGATGATTCCAAGAGTTTTCTTTATCCTCAGAATAAATAAGGAAAAGCAGGGAACACAGAGTCTATTTTATACCCTGGCCTGGCACGCTGTGGGGGTTGTGGGCTGAAGACAGATTTCCCCAACTCAAGAAAATTATCTTGCATTACTTATTTAGTCACAGCTTCCTCTCTGCCTGATGTCTTTTCTTTTTCTGCAGTTTCTATTCAATTGCCAGGACCGTTCCTGCATACCTCTCCTCTTTCCCTCTTGATTTTCACATCTAGCCTTTCTCCTGAGTCCCAGAATTTCCCCAGCTGCCTGACCGCTTTGCTCTCCTGTTTTCTGCACCATCCAACTTGCAAGTCAGTATTGCCGCTGCATTTTTAGATCAGATAGTTGTTTCACCTCAAGGCAGTCTTCCCTGATTTCCGAGTTCTTCTTTTTCATGTGTGCAATTTCCTCTCAATTATTGTTGAGAACCTGAATTTAACATTTTACAAAATGTCACTCTCTTTCCTCCCATAAACATTTTTCAAAAGAGCACTCTTCATTTGTGTTCCTGAGCAGTTTTTATATATATCCAGATGTTTCCCCACTTGCTCATCTTTACAGAGGGAGGTCTATGCTTGCCCAGTGTGGGGGCTTGGGAGAGGTTCAACCAGAGAGTGTTTGAGTTCATATTCAATTTCTTTAGGAAGAGGAAGTCAAAGAAAAAAAATGACGGTTTTTGCAGGTTAATTTCTCTGGATCAGTTTCAGTTTTCTGGGAGAGGGAAGAGGGAAGCGCTATATGACAGGGCTTCCCCACTGTGCCCATGTCCCTTTCTCGAGGGCAGGGGCACTACCCCTTTCTCTAACGGACAGGGTGGCTCTTAGGACAAGTCTGTTGTGGCAATGCCCTCACATTTTTTATTGTGTTGTTTGATAGGGCCATCCAGAAGTAAAGGCTGCGAGTTGCTGTTCCCTGTGCACTGTGTCAGACCCGGGCAGGGCTTTATGTGTGTGCAACAGTGGGGCCCATGAGGTCCTCTGCTTAGAAAGGGCCCTGCACTGGGTTTAATGCTCTGCTGCCCCATCTTGAACTTCTTAAAAATCTTATTTTTGAATTTGTGTTATGTGAGTGAAGTCCAATGGGCCAACTGAGTATGTGTGAGGGAGGGGATTGGAAACGGGGTCGACTCTGGATCCTGCCTCCTGCCATCTCTCAAGATGGATTCCTGGCCACTCACACCCCAGCCTGTCTTCCCCTTCTTGCCCTGCAGCTGCTGCACCCTCCAACAAGGTGGCAACTATATGGTGTCAATGGGGGAGGCCTGTGTTCCAATGTTGCCCTTTGGTCCTTTTGGGAATCTGGGCACAGGCAAGAGGAGGATTGGAGTTGGGCATGGTGGCAGCTGTCACCTGCCGCAGCCGGCAGTGCTGGCATCTGGTGGGCAGGGGAGGCAAACTCATTACCCATCCAAAAAATTAGCATGTTCCTGCACAGAGATTTGAAGACTCTTAGGGGTCAGTCACCTGACTGCTGTGGGTTGGGGAGACAGGCCCTGGGAAGGAGAGATTCCTGGCTTACCTGGGGACCTATGGAGCACTGGCAGGAGGAGCAACCCAGCAGCTCTTAGGCCTGAGTGTTTCAGGATGGAAGCCTCAGTGCCTGGGAGGGTCTGTACTTGCCCCAAGCATCTCCTGGCCTGAGGAAGTGTTCAGTCTGGTGACCCTGTGCTCCTGGGAAGCCTCTATTCCTCCTTCCAACCTTCCCGAGTCTGGCTTGCCTTTTCTGTCTTCTGGGCAGCTCAAAGCACCCTCCAGGGACAAGCTACTACATAAGAATTGTGTAATTTTAGTGATTCCACCAGCCTAGGAGTTCAGTGCTGTTACAGTGGCATGTAAAACTGGCATTGCATAATGTGACGATGAACATAACATTCATGCCAATAATTTAAAAATTTAATTATTTTTTTAGAATGACATTAAATAGTAAATAAGAAAATACCATGACATATTGAGGAAGACTGCCACAGAAAGAAAAGTGTTTATATTTTAGCAGCTTTAATGGAACTTTTGAACAAGTTTTGCTGAGGGCACCTGTACTTTTGTTTTGCACTGAGCCCTGCCAAGTATGTAGCTATCTCTAGGCACAGGTTTTGTTACATTTCCTTGTGATAACTTGTGGCCACAGGAAGCCCCAGCTGCAGGTGACTCATCTGACACCACTGTACCCCCTGCTTGGGTGTGTGGCATTCAGACTGCCCTTCCCTGCACCCTCCAGCTCCCACCCTTTGCCACACAATCTCCCCAGGTGTTTGCACAATTTGAGAGGAAGATAATGGCCCTCCTGATAATGCAGCAGGTGTGTGCTCAGGTGATGAACTGGTAATATACAAAGTTGCCATTATATGTCTACCCCATATTTAGGAGTCGTTCATCTGAGTAATGCATGCAAATCTCTCTTATAGTGCATGATGCCTGATATAGAGTCAATAAATGTTGGTTTCCTTCCCTTTTCTTTGCCTTCTCTGAGTCTGTCATTGTTTGCAATTTTGCCTTGTGGCCCTCTTCTTCTTCTTCTTCTTTTTTTTTTTTTAAATTAAAAAACCCTCCCAGACAGTCTCATCACTCTTTGGGAATGGATGGCGAGCTTGTCTGTCCCCTGACGCTTTCCACGGAGCACAGTAGAGGCTATCAGGAGCCGAGCAGCCTGCTCTGCCCAGAGCTTCTTGCTTGCTCAGATGAAAAACAAGCTGGACAGGCCCCAGAATCCCTCATCCTGACCTCCACAGGGAAGCCGGCCCGGTGGGCTTTGTCCTTTCTGTGCATTCTCCACCTTCTTGACTCCGCACTACCTTGCTTTCAGGGTTCCTGGCAGCAGCTGGGCTGAGGCTGGGGAAGTGAGTAGAAGGAACCTTTTGCCGTTTGTCTAGGACTGAAATGACTGTGGATATGCCTTTCATGGCAGATTTTGCTAAAGAGGGAAATTTGCACCTGTGTGGAGTTGGCATCACATTTAGAGAGAGCAAGGGGAAACAAAAACAAAGGCCAGCACATCTGGAATGATTACTACCAAAATTACTTACCAAAGACATCTGCGACGCTGTGATCCATTCAGGAGAGATGTGAAAATGAGCCCCAGCTGAGTCTCCCAGCAAAATGATTCCCCTGGGCTGTGAACCTAAGCAGCACAATTTATTCACATTATTTATGCACTCGAGTAGTTTGGAGCCTCCAGACTGGGTAGTTACGAAAGCAGATACCCTTGTGTATATTCCAGGCATCGAGCATTTTAACAGTAGTGCATTACTATTTTTTGCATGTTTGAGAGTGAGGGGCATAGCATTTTGGAGCCGAATGAGATTTCCAGGCCATTGGAGCTGCTAGCTAAGATGTAGAGATGCAGGTGTGTTTCCCAGCTTAGCATAAAACAAACTGCTGTACAACATCTTGAGTGAATGATGGACGAATAAGTGTATCAAAGCTTTATCTGAAACCAAAATATGCCCTAAATTTTGGTTCTGGAAACTGCTTTCTTGAAAACACATTGATGTCCATTACAATTCACTTTAAGGGTTAATGATCTTATGGAGAAATTGTGATTTTTCAAGCATATTATGCCCTTAATCCATACAGGCAAAAACACGGGATAGACAATACTGGCTGATTAATGGAGAGATGGAGATAGAAAGGTCTGCATGCAGCCCTGTTTGTTTGGAGGTTCAGAATCACTTCATCTGACTCTGAGGCCCAACCACATGAATCATTCACCTGTGAACTCATTCTTCTAAATTCCTTAAAATCCTGACTCAGTTGATGCCTCCCAGAGGCAGAGAGAGGCACCTCCTTTTTCCACTTCCAAACTCCTCAAGTCATGCAAGAGGATGGCCTAGCCTCACTGCAGTGACTCCTCAGCCTGGGCTTCATGGAAACCACTATCTGACCACACAAATGGGGACTGAGGAGGCCCAGGACATCGTGGAGGGCACAGGGAGAGTAGGGTGTAGGGAATCTAAGAGGCTTTGCACCAGGGTTTCACCTAGATCTGCATATATTTCATTCATTGGTTTAGTTGTTCATTCATTCTTTACTCATCCAACAAATATTCCTAAACTGCATAAATATGTAATAAGCCTTTACATTTTCTATTCCTCTTCCTGCCCTCTGAGGGCTTAAAGACAATTAGGCTTTAAGTTAATAGAAGGCAAAGACTATACACTTTTTGTCCAAGAAAACTCAGAACCAAGTATAGCCGTTGGTTAGAATTGGAATCGTTGTTCAGAAAATACCTGTTGAATGAATGAATGAGGTGATTGTGAAAGTGGGGAGAGAAGCATTGCCTAAACATAAAACAGTGATGTTACCATCAAGTGTTGGCATCACCAGGAGCATATTTTCAGTCATGTATGGGGTGGTGAGGTTTCCCCAGTGGAACTGGTGGCCCAGATGTTTGTGCCATCTGGGCACTTAGAGCACAGATCTTTTGTCCAGCTATTTTTGGGAAGCCCTCATAGGTTATAGCCTGGCAGTCTCTCTCAAGTCATTCAGACATTCAAATACACATCTTTAGCCTAGTGGACAAAGAGACTCATCCCATCAGTAGAAGTCTGGGTGTCTGACCTTGTAGTGTAATTAAAGGGAAATGCAAAAGATTAAAAATGTCAGTTATGACTGCTGCTTATTATCTTATTTGGAAAAGTGCTGGATTTCCATCGCTCTTTTATCCATTTTGCAACCTAATCCTCAAGTAAAAACATCAATTAAACAAATTGTTTTGCTTTTTTAAGATTCTGACCCCTTTCCTACTTTTCTGAACCTTTTAGATACTTTATTTTTTCTGATCTGTCATGAAAATAAATGTAAGTTGGTCAGCATAGAGTAAATCCTAGCATCGAGCACGTTCTGACTTAGGTGGTCCGCTCACTTCAGTTTGACTCAGACTAGAAAAGAATACTCTATTGTTATAACCACACTGACATCCGCAATTCTTACCTTCACAGAATTTCTTCTCATATGGAATGCCATCTTTTGGATCAATACCCTTTAAAAGAAAAATGATGCGATTAGCAGCTTGGTTTTAAATTTATGAGATACATATATTAAGCTCTCCTAAATGGCTTTAAAAGCACAGAGGCAAATGAGTAGACAAAACCCTTTAAAGTCTCTTAAGCCCCTATTTCAACATAGCAACGCCCTGTGTGAGTGAGTCGCGTTTGAGAGGAACTGAGGGTGGGACTAAAGAGAGAGCCAGACACTGTACCATTTCATTCAAGGAGATGTCAGGCAGGGTTCTGGGAGAGATGCCTGGACCAGGGGTCTCACCCCTCAGAGCATAGAGGGCCGACTAAGTGACTGGGACACAGGGTCTGGGTGGATTCCACAGTCTCTGAGCTGGAGGTCTAAGTGTCCTGACATCTTCAGTACCTAAGATTGATGCTTCTAAAGAAGCAATTCTCAAGGGATCCATTTTGCACATTCCTTTACCCCCTGAGGACACTGGCAATGTCTGGAGACATTTTTCGCTGGGGGTGCTACTGGCATCTAGTGGATAGAGGTCAGGGATACTGCTAAATATCCTACAGTTTGCAAGACAGCTCCAACAACAAAGAATTATCCAACCCAAACATCAATAGTGCCCAGATTAAGAAACCTGGAAGTAACACTGGGCCTGTGAATGGGACTGAATTGGCACAGTTGGCATATCCTAAAACCTAAAGGTAAAGCTACCCGTTTGTGGAGCTGCTAGTCCTTGGAAGGATTATTCATAGTATTCCAAAATGAAAGCACTTGCTGATCAGAAATGTGTTAATAAGACCGTGCTCACTCTCCAGTCTTGGGAGCTCCCCACGCCCATTAAAACATGAAAGAACCTATTAACATCACACTCAACCCTGGGGTCCCCAGGACACAGTCTGGGCAAGGTTGGACTTCATGGTTGTAAGACTCCCTCTGAGTTTATGATGTGATTCTGTGAGTGGTGTTTCCTCTGTGGAAAGGGATAGGTATGAAGGTGATATGTCCTTCTCCCATCACTGGTGATGAGCTCTGCATCTTGCCTCCCTGAGCTTATGGTGGATTTCCATTGATCTAGTACAGTCTCTCACTTGGCCTTCCTCCTTATATGCGTGGCACACCATATCTGAGACCTGGCTGGGACCATGGAACGAAGACAGGGCATCACACATTGACTAGTCCCCTTTGTCCTCCAACGTGACAACTAAACCTGGGTTTTTCAGAGCAAGAGCTGACTTGGAGATCTTGTCACCTTGTGCTCTAGGGGAGATGACTTCTTCTTCTCCATGAAGAGGCAGAGTGACTAGGGGATAGGGTGGGTGGTGTGGGCTGAGGCACAGCCGTCTCTCATGCTTTCCATATCTTGGAGGCAATGGGACTGGAAAGCACACAGTAGGTGACTGTTAGTGCAAACCTGAACTATGAGTGTCCCGGAGAGAGGAAAATATTTACGGAAACTTTTTCCTCTTCACTGAAGCAGATAAATGAAGCAACTATTTACAGGCAATTTAGACAATTTATTTAGGTAGGTGTGAAAATAATTGCAATTTTTGCCATTAATTACAAAAACTGAAATTACTTTTGCACCAACATAATATCTTGAAGTTAGAGAATCTTAAGCTTCAGGACCCATCACAGCCCTTGCCCATGTGAGTGCTGGGAGTAACTGGGAGCATTAGCGTATTCTAGGTGGAGAGTGGAGGCCAGGCTGCAATCACGACATGTTTCCATGTAAACACTTCCGGTAAGTCAGAAACGAGATCTCAAAAGAAAGGGAACTGAATTTCTGAGACTCCAGGAATTTGTTATGATTTCTATGATTGTTTTAAAAATTACTCATTTTCCTATTTGATTTTGTATTTTTAAGTAGATATTCTTTTTTTCATAAGGAACCCTCAAATCTTGTAAGCTTAACACCCCACAAACTTGAGGCTGTTGCTGTGTTAGTTTGGCTTTCCTCTTTTCTTCTGGGAGCTGCAAATCCATTATTCATAGGAAACTAGGACACCAGCATTAAATGCCTCAAGGTGTGAGTGGTAGGGTAAATACTGAGTAATTTCTGCTCTGCCTGGGTAGGCTTATGAAACAGAAAAAAAAATGGCTGCAACAAAATAAGGACAGCATGTGGTTTGCTCCAACAGCTGTGTGGGTTGCTGTAAAACTTTGTTAACATCACTCTTCATTTAATTTCACACTGTTCAAAACAGTATAAAGGGATTAGATGTGGGTGACCTTAAGCAAGGCTTAAAGGGGCCATGACTGAGAAAGACTCAACTCTCATGACATCGTTGACACTCTTCATGCATCATCAGGATTCTATACCCCTCTTCTAAGCAGCAGGAAAAGAGTTGCTTTAGGCTGTCGTAGTCTTCCCTGGATCTAACTAAAGCAAATATGTGATGAACCTTGCAGGAGGCAGGAACAAAGGAGAATGGGGTTCAAGCTGAATTTAGTTGCTTACCCAAATGCCATTACAGTTTGAATCCTGATGGACATCCCAGTTGTCTGGCCTAAGAAAAAAACATTAACATTGGTCTTTGACATATGCTTGTCTCTCAGTGGATGTCAGTTTCATGAATGAATGAATGAATGAATGCTACATTAAGTGCCATGGCGAGGCAACAGCATTCTTCATGGAAGAGTGTCACATTCCATTGTGTGTTGTGACATCGAAGCCTCCATTCAGCTTCCTTGCTTTAACCTTGGTTTGGGTATTTGTCAGAAGCTCTGGACCAAATCCTGTCTTTTTCATCATTGACTACATTCATGGACCACATTGTTGTGGAACGGTGCCGATGAACATAATGAACAGATCTGCATCCCATTGTGCCCCTAAATGCCCAAATAACTGGTTTATTCAATGCTTTCACACTATAGTCACAACAAAGGCGAGGGCTAGCATATCTATTTTTTGATACCAGAGATGCAATTGAACCTCAGCCCAGGGCTAATGTATGACATGTTTTCCATTCATTAGAGGCTCCTCCTTACTCCCAGAGGGAGAGGTCACTATTTCTGGGCCCAATTCTGCATGGAGAACTGATACAGAAGGCTGGATAAGTGTCTACAATAAGATAATCCATTTACATGATTGTTTTTCCCATTTGACTGTAAGCTCCAGAAGAGGAGGCATATTTCTGTTTTGTTTACCACCCAGCATGATGCAAAGTACTTGGAAAATTGTAGGTCTCTGATAAGCATTTCTTGGACAAATGAACGAATGAATGTCGTTCTTTTTTCACTGAGCTTTACTTCAATCAGAACACGAAAATCTCTTCTCTCTGTAAGTGGGAATCCCCTAGGCTGGGGGAAGGAAATGTGCCTCCTGTTTCATTTTCTGAAGATAATTTCAAAAAATCAGCAACCAGCAGAAATAGTTACCTTCTACCTGGGTACACCGATTCATCGCTGTCATTACAGTCTCTCCCCCGCCAGTGATAGCCCCGCAGGGTCTGAAATTGAAGAGCACACACAGGAGGGGTTCAGCCCGCTTTGATGTTATCCATGAGGAAGGTCAATCAGAGCTGAATGGCATTGACATCCGCAGTTTTTAATTCAAATTCAACCTAGGATCACTAAAGAGCACTAAGAAAATTAAGATTAATATGATAAGACATGCTGTGTGAAGTGACAGGTAATATAATACCAGGGCCAATAACAGGTGGTAGGGTGTGTGCATGTGTGTGCATATGTGAATGTATGTGTGTGTGTGTGTATGACATTAAGTGCTTGCTTGTATGTGCATGTGTGGAGGTGCATTGTGTGAATGTGAATGTATATGTATGGAGGCAGGTGTACATGCATGTGTGTGTTTATGTGTATTCATATTGTAGATGTGTGTGCATGTACACACTTGTGTTTCTGTGTATATGTGTTTGCTCACGTATGCGTGTCTACAAGCACCTCTAGAAACAGCAGACCCTTCCAACTTCCCAAAAACCCTCTATTAACTATCAGTCCTCTCAGGCTGTAAAACAATTGGCTTATTTGGCCAAATGATTAATGTCATTGGATAATTTAAAAGTCTCTACCCAAATGGATAATTATGCAGGTTTAAATATTTGACCTCAATGATTTGAATCAAGAGGTATAATAATGCCAGATAATATTTTTATTTCCTCCATTCCCAAGTTGAATATCTGAGATTTCCCAAACTTTTGGGACTTTGTGACATGTTACTTTGTTGTTGGTTTCACAGAGAATACCCTGACATTTTAACTGTTCTGAATCAAATGCGCGCGCACACACACACACACGTTAAAAAGTAAGTTAAAGTAGATTTAAGAAGTTCCAAAATAATTCACAAAACCTTTCAAGGCAACCATAGCCCTCATGGAGAATTCCAGCTGGAAATGGAAACAAAACCAGTCTGGGCCTAAGATTTATTTCAATGCCTTGTGTATCATAACAACGATACAAAATCCTTAAAAAATGTGAAATGGGTTGGGTGCAGTGGCTCATGCCTGTAATCCCAGCACTTTGGGAGGCTGAGGTGGATGGATTGCTTGAAGTCAGGAGTTTGAGACCAGCCTGGCCAACATGATGAAACTCTGACTTTACTAAAAATACAAAAATTGCCGAGGTGTGGTGGTGTGCGCCTGTAATCCCAGCTACTCTGGAGGCACGAGAAGCACTTGAAACCAGGAGGCAGAGGTTGTAGTGAGCAGAGAACACGCCACTGCACTCCAGTCTGGGGACAGAGTGAGACTTGGTCTCAAAAAAGAAAAGAAATTGTGAAATGATGTGTTGTTCATCAAATTAATAATGCGTTCAAATGAAATTCAGTCCTGTCTTACTAAAGGAAATAAATTTGTAGGAAGCAATATGATGTTAGTGAACATCTGGTTATTCCTAAGAATACTTACCGGGAAAACGCTGTATTTGTCTGAATCTACGTCTTTGAATGGCACAGACTGTTCTATAGCTCTAGGAAAAAGAAAACAAAACAATCGGTGAGCTAAGAAAAAAAGTAACAATGTTGGTGAAAACAAATAGAGAGACATTTTCTGATACAGCTGTGTTGAGTTTATGCCACAGAGGGCCATGCTAAACAGAGTCTGTGCGGTATCAGACAGAGCCAGCGAAACTTTGCCAGTCTCTGCTCTTTACCCAACAGAACTGTTTTCTCTCTGATATTAACTTGGCCTATACGAGGAAGTGAAATAATTGAAATGAAATTTTAAAGGGCAAGGGGTATTGATGTTGAGATTCCCAGGAAATACGAGACTGCACTTTGAGTTCAGTCAATGAATGAACTCAGTACTACAAATTGAATTTTTGCCATTTTGCACATTATGTTATAGAAATCTTTTCTTAAAATTTTACTCCTTTCAATCACTTATCCTGAGAGTCTTGACCATTTAGCTGGTATTAACTGGCAACTTTCACTCCCATTCATGAGTCTTGGAAACCAAGGACCCTGATGTGATGACTAAATAAATTGATGCCAAAATCACGGATATCCTATGAGGGAGGATTTCCCCTGTGGAATCCTCACTACCAGGCTTTTCCCAGCCTCTAAATGTCAAACACTGCCTTGGGTTTAGAAAATCACTTACAGAGTAGCAGAATGATATAGTCATATGGCAGTGAGGCAGGAAAATAGGGTCTGGAGGCAGGAAACATAAGTCCGATTCACACTTCAGCTATAATAGGAAATAGCCTCTCCATAGGGCAACGCCGTAAATGACTTTGTAACTTGACTTCATCCTCTTCTTTGACATAGGGCGTACCCCAAATAGAGGATATTGAAACTCACAAAAACTCTGTAACCGGGTCTTTGAGCCCCTATTCTCAGGCCTACTTGTACACCGTGGAGAGAACTTTCATTTTCAATAAATCCCTTCATTCCTTCCTTGCTTCGTGCGCTTCGTCCAATTCTTTGTTCAAGATGCCAAGAACCTGGACACACTCCACCATTAATGGCAAGATGAGGCTTTCTTTGGAGCTGAGAATTTACAGTGAGTAACACAACCTTTTATAGGAATCACTAAATGGTCTTTTGAATAAAGAGCATCTCAACAGTTCTGAGAACCTCAAGGCAAATAAATGCAACCCGAGACCATGCAGAGCCTAACTGGCAGCCTGGAGCCTGTCTTATGAACTCTGGGATGGCACAGAAGATCAGCTTGCAGGCCTCTTTGGTCAAACACTGAAAGGCACTGTGCTGGTTATATTAGCCTCTATGGTTCTATAGTCTGTATTCTACTCCATACTTTTGGGGCTGGGAATTTTGCAGAATACATTTACCAGGTTCTCTTGGGAGCTGCACCTGGCACTGGTGGGAAGAGAGAACAGGAGGAGGAGAGAAGTTGTTTTCCCTGACTTTCTCTCTCTGGATGTTCCCTTCAGTGACTCTAGCTCTAGCCACAGTGGGCACTCCCGAGGGTCCCAGCACCCATGGCTCCAGGACTGGCCCATGTGGTCTCTTGTTTTGCCCCCAGCAACCCCACAACAAGTGGCCTCCCAAGCCTGAGAACACCAGTTCCTCCCTTTTGCTTCTTCTGTCCGCCTAGGGATACTGGCTGCCTCCTGCAGTCCTCATAGCTGGGTGGCCCAGCCTTCCCCTTTTTACTGTTTCAGCCTTTTTAGGTCTTTTTAAAACTGGTAGCTTATATTAAATCCTCCTTGCACAGCTCTGTTTCCTGACTGGACCACTGAGAGGAGGGCCCTGGGATGAGTGAGTGCTGGTTAGGGTACTCCGGAAAAGTAGGGAGTGTGGGGAGTCAATAGCCACTTGGTGGACCCAATGAAGAGTTGCTGCAAGCTGATGTCACATCACTAGTCCTTCCTACATCCCTGCCCTGGGGGACAGGGGAGGCTGGATCCCTGAAAGGACAAGGCAGCAAGCTCCCTCTTAGTGTCCCCGAGAGGAATTATCCTTTTGAATTCATGTGCTCTTGCCAGATACTGAGTTGAGCATGGTGGTTCAGTAAAGACTCCAGTGTCAGTTGGAGTCACTGCTCCATCCACCACTTTCTCAGCAGCTCTGCAATTCTCAGAAGTTTATTTAACCTCCCTGAGCCTCATTTTAAAATCTGTAAAATGTGATTCCTGCCAGCTCCCTCCCAGGGTTTATTGGGAGGATTAAGGGAAACCACATGAAAAGCCCCTGGTATTGGTTCTCACAAAGTGCTTGCAGCTGTGATTATGAGTGCCTGCTGTCCGAAAGAGGAAATTCACCTTCCCCTTCCATTTGGGGTCGGGTGGGGTGGGTTGAACAGGGCCAGAGAGAGAGCCACCCGCAGGAAATTAGAAAGGTTCTACTTGCTGACTCCACACATCCACACTTACAGAGTGAGTGAGAACCAGCCCTGGGGAAGGTGGAAGCTTATCCAGGAGCAATTCAGGTGTGGGCTGTAGCCAAATTCCACCCCCATGATCACCCACACCTTGATTTTCCCATGGTGGGAGCGGAGGGGAATGAAGCTTCCTGAGTGGGCTCAGAGGCTGTGACGCTGCTTTCCCTCATGCAGGAGAGGAGCTAGGGCAAGATCATTCTTAGGATCCTTCCTGCTCTGATGCTCCAGGGTTTCTAGATCCACGCCATCCCTTGTCTACTCTGAGCTATGAATGGTTTTCTCTCACTTTAGTTATCCATCAAGAAATCCGGATAAAGCTTGGACCAAATGACATGCAGTCATCCAACATCAGTTGTGACTGCTAAGAAAAGTTTTGGAAAAGGCTTTGAAGGTCACATTTTCTGTGAGACTAGGCAGTTTTCCCCATGTATGTATTTGGCCTCTTGGACAGCGTTTACTTTTCTAGTTGAGAAAGGGAAGATAAAGAAAGAGAGCAAGAGCAAGAGACAAAGACAGATCGACAGAGACAGAGAGAGAGGGAGAGAGACAGAAATGGCATAGACCCAAACAGCCATGTTTTCAGCCTGAGAAAGAAAAAAGAGCAGGAGGAAAGGTCTCTTTTGGGCATGCGCCAAAGCTATCCCCTCCCACCTTTGTTATCTTGGGGGTGAGAGTTTGTCCTTGAAAGAATGAACAAAGAGTGGTCTTTAGGATGGAAAGCTGATTTATTAACCTTTGTCTGCTTACTTTAAAGGCTCCAAGTGACTGACCAAAGCCATGCATTCCAGACATGAGTAGGTAGACTGGGTACTTAAAGTAGCATAAATTGCAACTTGTATAATCTCCACAATCCCTTCTTCACAGCCCACTAATCAAAATTATTTTCCACTTAGCAACAACTCCATTTGGTAGCAAAACTTGACCTGAACTGATACAGGGCAATTTGTAAACTTTGTTATACTTAGTGTGAAAATTCATATATTTCACTCTGAAATATAAATCTGATTGATCAAGAGGTGCCGGGGATAGCAGATGGGTTCTGGTATATGTACTATTTATTACTTTACTAGAATATAAAAAATCTGAATTTCAAATCATATCTGGCTCCAAGGCTTTTTGTTTGTTCTTTTTTGTGTTTGTTTTTATAGAGATGGAGTCTTGCTCTGTTGCCCAGGCTGGTCTTTAGCTCCTGACCTTAAGTGATCGTCCCATTCCGGTCTCCCAAAATGCTGAGATTACAGGCATGAGCTAATGTGCCTGACAACTCCAAGGTTTTGGATAAGGCATTGTTGACTTTTACTACAAATTATTTCTGTAAAATTGCATCTGAACTTGATACCTTGTGTATCCTTAGAAATATCTAGCTGTATGTTGAAATGTTCATTCATTCATTCCTTCATTCCACAGGCATTTTGGGAGTCCCTGCTATGTGCTGGGAATCATATTAGATACCAGAGATGACTACAAGACACAGTCCTACAGTTCCTGCACTTTAGGAGCTTGACATGGGTGAGGAAATTAATGCATGAAAAGATAATTATAGTCCTAGATGAAAAATGCTGTAAGAGCGTTGTGCATCTAGAGAGGAAAAAAACGTTTCTAACCCTATATAGTGGAAGAAGTGATCTTACGGTGAAACCTAAAGGATGTGAGAGCATTTTCAAGGCAAGCAATTGGACTGAGGGCAGTGTAGTGGGAAGGAAAAGCCACGGGAATTCTTTCAACATAGCTCCAGGTTCTGAAATTAGACTCTCTGGGTTTGAATCCCAGTTCTGCTGTCTCCTTGTCAGGTGACCTTATGCAAATCATTTAATCTTTTCTTGCCTCAGTTTTCTTATTTGTAAAATAGAATCAATATCATTAACGATTTCCTAGATATGGAGAGCACTCGAAAAAACAAAACAAAACACATGAGCTCTTACTGTTACGTGCAATAGGAACCCTGATTGCAATGATGGCTCCTCGGGTGGGGCCGCAGGACTCCGGTGTCTGCTGTCATCATGGTTTGGTATCTAGAGACATCCCCATCCCAATCCATGGCCCCTCTTTGGATGTTCAGATTTCTGGCCACATGGCATTCTATTCAATGACCATGCAGCCTGGTGGTGCTAACTGTCCCTGCTCTATACCTGCCTGCCACCAGATATTAGGTGAGTGGGCTTGACCCAGGGAGCAATTATAACTGCGGCTGATTGTTATTAATGACACAGTATTGAGCTATTCAAGTTCAATCTCCCTAAAACTATTTCATGAACCTGGGTCATTACGACAGAAGAAAAATGGTGAGAATGAATCTCCATGTGTGCCTGCCTCACATGTGTCTCAGGTAGCTCTCGAGGGCTGGGTGCGGGTTGGTTGCATCTGTGGGTGGATGTATTATGTAGGTCTCTATCAATGAAATGAGAACAGAGAAGCCACAGAAGGGCACAACTGCCTATAGATGTGGCTCGGCTTGGAGGTGGGGGCGGGACTGAAGTGGGTGGAAGGAGCAGGGTATGGGGAAGGAGGAGGCTAAAAAAGGAAAAAAAATAGTGTTGAATTAACACAGTCAATAGGGGATAGGATGGTTTGCATGTATTTATGTGAAATAATAGGGAGGTTTCTGCATATAGACATTAAATAAAA